TCCTTAAGTAGGGAACTCATGCCCCTCCCACAACTACAGGCGCAGCCTTCCATAAATCTCACTAGATATATATATATATATATATATATATATAAATACATACACACATACATACATACATACACAACTGTCTCTCTATAGATATAAGAATATAGAGAGAAATATTGACGTGTGTGTGTATGTGTAGTATATATATATATATATATATATATATATTTGTGCTCAGGACAATAAAGTATTGATACCTTATCATACTAGTGGAGGTGTAAATAAAATTCAGTTGAGGTGTGCCGAAACCGACGTATTGGTAGACCTATAAATAAAATGGGCCCACCAAGAAAGGTAATTAGAGAAAATAATTATTTAAAAGGTAGAGTGGTGGGAGGGACTCAGAACGGAACGATGCCTAGGAGGAGTCTAGTGCTGATGGTGGGTATTAATATTAGCACTAGCCCCTCCAGGCTCCGCCTTTACATTTGTGCTCAGGACAATAAAGCTGCATGTGTATTGATACCTTATCATACTAGTAGAGGTATATATAAAATTCACTTGAGGTGTGCCAAAACTGACATATTGGTAGACCCAGGCCCGGACTGGCCATCGGGCACACCGGGCAAATGCCCGGTGGGCCCCGGTGGCCATGGGCCGAGGCCGGCAGGGGAGGTCTCAGGATCTCCCCTGCCGGTCTATGCAGGGCCGGCACTCTCCTAGCGCCGGCCCCGCTGTTTGCCATGACGGGCCGGTGGGGAGATCAAAGTTCTCCCTCACCGGCCCAAATGCGGCCGCTGGCGGGGAGGGAGGGAGACAGACAGCCGCCAGGAGAGAGGACCCGGCAGAGCTCTAACTTGCAGCTCCGCTGGGTTCCTCTCGCGAGATCTGGCGCGTTGCCATGGCAACGACCGGATCTCGCGAGAGTGAACTCTAGCCTCACAGGCTAGAGTTCACTCACCCACGTGGACCACCAGGGAACACCGCCTCCTAGTCCCAGCGTGCCGGTCCCCCCTCACAGGCTAAAGGTAAGAAGGGGGGGGGGAAATAATGCCTGGTTTCTGTTTATTTACCCCCCCCTACACACACACAATAACATTCATACAGCACTCTCACACCCATCACACACAGCACTCTCTCACACAGCACTCTCACAGCACTCTCTCACCCATCACACTCTCACACCCATCACTCTCACACTCACAGCACTCTCTGACAGCACTCTCACACACATACAGCACTCTCTCACACAGCACTCTCACACACACAGCACTCTCTCACACAGCACTCTCACACCCATCACACACAGCACTCTTTCACAGCACTCTCACACACACAGCTCTCTCTCTCACACACAGCACGCTATCACAGCACTCTCTTACACAGCACTCTCACACAGCACTCTCACACACACAGCTCTCTCTCTCACACACAGCACTCTCTCACAGCACTCTCTTACACAGCACTCTCACACAGCACTCTCACACCCATCACTTTCACACACACAGCACTCTCACACCCATCACACACAGCACTCTTACACTCATTACTCACACACGCCACTCTCACACTGTTACTGGGAAACTGACGGAGGCCAAGCACAGAGAGATGGACACAGGTTTCTTCAGGAAGGAAGAGATCTTTATTCGATTCACCGACCGGGACTCAGAGGGACTTATGTCACCAAAAACAGCAAAGATCTGAGTACTGAATACATAGAGTACATTCCTTATATAGCACTGTAGCTCCTCCCATAATTAGCTACGCCCACACATACCCTTAACCTAATCAATGAATAGAGTCTAAACTCATCCATCCGGTCTAACCACGTGGCTCATCTGAAACAAAGGAGAGGGACGCGTAATTCCAGTTCCTACATTCCTGCAGATGCTCAGTACAGTGATGACAGTATCTTAGCTACGTGTAACTAACTAACTGATACTACAAACACATGTACCTACATATGCCTTGTGGCAATCTTGGCCTGCTAAACTTGTATTTTACTGGAATTCCATCACATTCCCCCCTTTAATGCTTCTGATTTAAAATAATTCCAGATGCATCACCAATCATAGTTTGCTTACACCTCAAGTTGCCATAAACCAGACTAGACTTTGCGATTCTCTAAAGATACGAACCCCTCAACATTCCTCTTCCTGCATGTATTCTCCTTGATCTAAAGCTTCATACCTGCAAACAGCCATTACCTGTGCTGCGGCCTTTCTTTCTGCTATACTTTCTATAATGCTCTGCATAGAGTTAATTACCAAAGGAATCAGACATGGCAGAAGGAGACACAACATCAAAATCAGTATGACTCCACCTACCAATGCCTTGATTCCTGCAAACTGCTCATACCAACTACCAAACCAACTACTCGGATTATACCCTTTCCATACCTGAGTAGGTACATGTGCTAGCTTAACCATATGGCTAGTAAGCTCAGCTATTGCTTGCCCTTCATCATCTATTTGAAGACAACAATTGCTTAGATTAAACTTCCCACATACACCTCCCTCTACTGCCAATAGTTAATCCAAAAATAATCTATTCTGGTAGATGGCTGTCCTCATCCTAGTGTTATGCTTCGCTAGGAGATTGAGCGCTTGTGATGTTTCATTGGTAACTATCTCAACTACTGCTTGCAATCTTATAATACGATTAAGCATGTGACGAGACCAATCTCGCCACATTGCATTTGAGAAGCCTGGTTGCTCGCCTGCTGCCTTTGGACTATGGCCCCCTGTTAAAAGACATCTTTTTTTTACCTGCAGAAAAGCTTAATTCGTGCTTTTCTGCCTGGGGTTCGGTAGATTTGTTTGAATGTGTTACACCCCAGATAGGAATCCCATGGAGCCCATTCGTATGAAACTGACTGTAAAGACTTTGGCTCCATGGCGATTAAACTGTATTCATGTGGTCTGAGCGCCATTCACTTAATAATGTGCGCTCGGACCTGAGCTATCTGGGGATATGTGAAATGTCTGTGTTTTATGTATAAAAGGTGACTTTATGTATTTTAAAGTGTTTTGTGTCTTTTGCAACCATGTGCTTAATGGAGTCTTGTGTCTGTCCTGGGAGATAATTGAATTACTTATCTCCAGGATAGAAGACTCTGAAACTGGTTTGGGCCAGAAAGCCATGCTTCATTTAGTCACAAAGGACTTTTTACTAACTTTTGAACCCCTTGTCTGATTTGTGCCATTTTTTAATATGTTGCTCCCCTGAATGGATTGATTCCAAATATGTAATTTTATGTGAATGTGATGTATGGTTTTAGAGTTATGGAAGTTGGGTAGAAAGTATGTTTTAACTGTATGTGTAATTGAGTTTCCTCTCAGGATAAGGGGAGGGAATATGTGGGATGTAACTGTGATGTGATTGGTTGTTTTATACCTCCCTGTGGGCGGTCCTGTATTTGCAAGACTGTAATAAAAACCAGGCTGGGTGTGCCAGCACCTCAGACCACTGCTTGGCCCTCAACACGGAGCCTTGTCTCGTTCTTGGGGGGATTCACTGTATGCTGTTAGAGACTGATTGCCAGGAGTGTAAGCTGTTCGTCTGCTTTTCCTGTTCGTCTGCTAGCAGCTATTTGGGAGGTTCCAGTTCGGGAGTTGGAGTGCTATTTTGTATCCAGTTCGTGAGTTTTGGTGTTCTGCAGTAGCTGTGCCTGGATCTCTGAAAAGGGGGCCGATCGCCTAAACGGTTTTTACCCCTTGTGTGCAAAACGGTCCGTTACAAAGCATATATATTGGGGTTCTGTATCCATAAGTACCATCCTCTGCCCACGTAGCTGGCCCATAATAATCTATAATATGTTGGGGAGGCCACTCATCATCTTCCCAAGTACCTATCTCTGGGGGTGCCCTTTTCTTCTATGATTTACATCATATACTTTAACTCCCAAAGTCAACAAGAAGATTGGCAACAAGAAGAAGGATGGTTTGAGCATACCCAATACACATGCCCCTTCCCAGTCCTGTGGTAACTCCGAATATGCTTTCTTACCACAAATCCAGTACAAATTTGCTGGGGCTTTCCAACTAGATGTAGCATATAGGTCAAACCATACATCCTTTAAATTGGTATAATTTGCAAACGGATTAGACGGTTCTGAGACATTTGAAGCTGACCACCAAATAGTATCCTTTGTATCGTCATTATAGGCTTTCTGCCCTAAACAAGTCAATTCTCCTACAGATGTATTAAACATTATTCCTTTCCTTGCTATACAAACATAACCTATAATGGAGGTCTTTAATCGCCACTCAGATTTACCTCTAACACTCACTTGATAATCAGATTGAGAAGATATTAGTTGTTCAACTGTCTCAGAACCAGAATATATTACCTCCTTTGCTTCCCAAGGCCATTGGTCTCCCATATTAGTACCTCCACACACATAGCAGTTGGTTACATTAAGACTACCAGCAATGCTCTCAGCTAGGTCTATGAATACGTTTTTGGCATTATGGGGAACCTTATATTCCACACTCATCTCCTCATAAAAAGAATGGAAAACCTGATGAGTCTGGGGGGCCACTGTATCTGTCTCTATTCCTATGTATAATATCGTCCCAGGATCCAAACCTGTTCCATATATTTGGAACCCAAATAGATTCCCAATCTTATCTATAAATAGCTCTGGGTCCTTGATAAGTATATGGACTGGGTTACACTCCATAGACTTACAATATGGCTTGGTAGGCAATCTAGTGATAATCATATCCTTATCTACTGTCTGTCCCCAGGTTGCCCATCCCACACAGGACCAATACGGACAATAATTGTAGTCTTTATTTAGGCAGTTTGGATCTATATACTTATGCTTATTACTAGGACAAATATACTTATCATTAGACCCATACGTTCTTTCCCATTTAAGACCACCACATACATTCCATGGCTTCCTACTACCTGATATCGCCTTACATGCATCAAATAGCAAAACACCTGGAGAATGTACGCTTTCTAGTACAGCCTTATTTATCAGGTTCCCCTGTGCGTTCTCATTCGAATAGTCAACCAAATTGTACGGGGCTGATACTCAGGATTAAAACACCTAGGTTCTCCTGCTCCTATATGGCATACACTATAATCTGTACCTAGGTATCTACACTTTGATACATGTCCTGTGCACTCATATTGTGAATGCCAAATAAGGGTCTGGGAAATACGATTGCCTGTTTTCGTAGTCTTAATGCAAACCTCGCAGCCTGGTGTGTCGTTACCTCTACCTTCCTGAATAATTAAAAACACACATATATACATCATCAAACACATTACTCCTGACATCTTCTTCCTAATTCTTTGACCGTGCAACGGCACCTCAGCTTCCAGGCGTGTGAGGGCTGCAGGGAATGGAGTCGTTCTGATCCTCACTGTTCTTCACAGAGGATTCCTCTGGCTTAAACGTTGGTAGGTGGTCAGGCTTTATTGTGGCCGTCAAAACATCTACTTGTAGATCTTTGTTGATGTTCCCTTGTAACAATATTCTTCGCAAAAACCACTTTTAATCTAACTGGGTCACTCGCTTCAACCGGATCTTGCAGGGATTCTCAGGATCTTGAGTAGCTTGACAAGAATCTGCTGCTGGTTTAACCCTGGAGTGATGAATCCACGGAGTCACCTCTGCCACCTTTATAGCTGTTGGAGTAGACAAAAGAACAGCATAAGGACCCCTCCACTTTAGCCCCAACGGTACACTGTTCCACTCCTTTATCCAAACTTGGTCTCCTGGATGGTAAGAATGGACAGGTGGATAAATATTTACAGGTAACCTATCTTGTACCCATTTCTGTACCTCCTCCATAGTATTACCCAACTCTACAGGGAGTGCAGAATTATTAGGCAAATGAGTATTTTGACCACATCATCCTCTTTATGCATGTTGTCTTACTCCAAGCTGTATAGGCTCGAAAGCCTACTACCAATTAAGCATATTAGGTGATGTGCATCTCTGTAATGAGAAGGGGTGTGGTCTAATGACATCAACACCCTATATCAGGTGTGCATAATTATTAGGCAACTTCCTTTCCTTTGGCAAAATGGGTCAAAAGAAGGACTTGACAGGCTCAGAAAAGTCAAAAATAGTGAGATATCTTGCAGAGGGATGCAGCACTCTTAAAATTGCAAAGCTTCTGAAGCGTGATCATCGAACAATCAAGCGTTTCATTCAAAATAGTCAACAGGGTCGCAAGAAGCGTGTGGAAAAACCAAGGCGCAAAATAACTGCCCATGAACTGAGAAAAGTCAAGCGTGCAGCTGCCACGATGCCACTTGCCACCAGTTTGACATATTTCAGAGCTGCAACATCACTGGAGTGCCCAAAAGCACAAGGTGTGCAATACTCAGAGACATGGCCAAGGTAAGAAAGGCTGAAAGACGACCACCACTGAACAAGACACACAAGCTGAAACGTCAAGACTGGGCCAAGAAATATCTCAAGACTGATTTTTCTAAGGTTTTATGGACTGATGAAATGAGAGTGAGTCTTGATGGGCCAGATGGATGGGCCCGTGGCTGGATTGGTAAAGGGCAGAGAGCTCCAGTCCGACTCAGACGCCAGCAAGGTGGAGGTGGAGTACTGGTTTGGGCTGGTATCATCAAAGATGAGCTTGTGGGGCCTTTTCGGGTTGAGGATGGAGTCAAGCTCAACTCCCAGTCCTACTGCCAGTTCCTGGAAGACACCTTCTTCAAGCAGTGGTACAGGAAGAAGTCTGCATCCTTCAAGAAAACATGATTTTCATGCAGGACAATGCTCCATCACACGCGTCCAAGTACTCCACAGCGTGGCTGGCAAGAAAGGGTATAAAAGAAGAAAATCTAATGACATGGCCTCCTTGTTCACCTGATCTGAACCCCATTGAGAACCTGTGGTCCATCATCAAATGTGAGATTTACAAGGAGGGAAAACAGTACACCTCTCTGAACAGTGTCTGGGAGGCTGTGGTTGCTGCTGCACGCAATGTTGATGGTGAACAGATCAAAACACTGACAGAATCCATGGATGGCAGGCTTTTGAGTGTCCTTGCAAAGAAAGGTGGCTATATTGGTCACTGATTTGTTTTGTTTTGTTTTTGAATGTCAGAAATGTATATTTGTGAATGTTGAGATGTTATATTGGTTTCACTGGTAATAATAAATAATTGAAATGGGTATATATTTGTTTTTTGTTAAGTTGCCTAATAATTATGCACAGTAATAGTCACCTGCACACACCGATATCCCCCTAACATAGCTATAACTAAAAACAAACTAAAAACTACTTCAAAAAATTTCAGCTTTGATATTAATGAGTTTTTTGGGTTCATTGAGAACATGGTTGTTGTTCAATAATAAAATTAATCCTCAAAAATACAACTTGCCTAATAATTCTGCACTCCCTGTACAACCTGCCGCCGGGTAATTCCTTCTCCCAACTGACTCAAGTCCCCCTTTAAGTTACTAAGTATGGGAGGTGGACGCCCATACATAATTTCAAAGGGTGATAGACCTAACTTTCTGGTAGGTGTACTACGAATGCGCAACAGAGCTATTGGCAAAAGAACATTCCACTTGAGTTGGGTTTCTTGACACATTTTTGCCAACTGGGTCTTAATGGTTCTGTTCATCCTTTCCACTTTCCCAGAACTCTGAGGCCTATATGCTGTATGAAGTTTCCACTTAATACCAAGCATATGAGTCAGTTGTTGTAGGCACTGATGGACAAAAGCTGGACCATTATCTGATCCTATAGAACACGGTAGTCCATATCGGGGTATTATTTCTTGCAACAGAAATCGCACAACTTCTCCTGCTTTCTCTGTACGAGTTGGACACGCCTCTACCCATCCTGAGTAGGTACACACAGCTACTAGTAGGTAACGATGTCCGCCGGATTTGGGCATTACCGTGTAGTCTATTTG